CATTGCCCAACTGGTAAAAATGGAATTCCCTAACATTGCCGAGGAGCTTGTTGTCGAGATAGGAGTAAATAACAATGGAGAAAGAGAAGATGTCGAAGAATGGCAAAATAAGATAATCACTGTTCTTACGGACCAAGAAAGATATGATATTGCGTACGACAGAGCACAGGAGTTGAAAGAACGTCTTAAACAGTCAGAAACAACGATTTTGCGAGTTACTATTAGATTAAAAAGTAGTAACCAAATAATAAAAGATTGTGTGCACATTTTTATTTTAAAATATGGGACAAACTATTTAATTGGTAGATACAGAAAAGATATTCAACACGCCTATTTTACTTCACTGGTATGTTTTCTCGAGCTGAGGACGGGAACTTATCGTTGTGTCACGTGGAAAACATATTTTTAAAACATAAATGTAAAACACTTTCATACTAACTTTTTATACAATACGAATTAGTATGTTTTATATGTTATTATAGTGTCGGGTTTTCTGATCGAAATCATGTGGAATACGTGTCACTATAAACATTTTTATTCCTCGACTGACATTGTATCACGTGATTTTTATATGCCATGCTTCATAATATTCAAAGCCATAATTTAGAAAGGAAAAAGGAAAGTTTGGTCTGTTACAAATTTAAAAGAACATTACAAGTTTTCACACGTATATACCAATATTCATATTCCACAATAATTAACTATGCTCGTTTAGTGTGGTTTTGCCGAGAACTTGTTTATAAAACCGTGTATGAAACATATAAAGCATTTACATACTCAACAATAAACTCACAACAATGAAATACATGGGACAAAATCCATTTACACACATACGTCTACAGTTCGGAATTGAGTATTTATGGATTGAGTTATTCATACTTTGATACTTATAGTGATTGATAAATGTCAAAACATTATTTTTTAGATTTTTTGTCAAGGGTCTATATGCATTAACCGGCGTTTGATAATGTTGAAAGTACAACTGCTCTGATTTTCCGCAATACAGATTTTTGTGTCAAATTTGTTACTGCCCCCAATATTATGACTAAATCCTTACTCAGGGCAAGAACATTTCAAAACATTACCAACTTTCCAATCGCTTTTCACAACTTTGTAAGCAGTTTGTGTCAATTTTTCGGTTGACGGTTATGATAATCTGCTTATATATGAGGCATTTACTTAATGTTTTTGAAATTTAACTACGGGGCTGTCATGATAATGACTTAAATATACACGCAACTCCGCCAACATTTCCTTCGTTTTTTTCAAACTTTGCACGCTGTTTTCCAAAATTATACAGTCAGCTCATGTGAACATCTATAGGCTGCTTTCAACTGGTTTTTATCCAATTTGTAATGTCGCATAATTGAACAAGCCATGCATGTCATAGTCCCGTTAGTTATCAAATTTAAGACATATAGTTTTGTTTATAGTAATATAGCTGGAATATAACCATGTCAGGAATATGATTTTTTTTAACATTAAAATGATTGACATTTGTATCTGATCGTCAAACAGGTACTTGTGCATATTGAGAGATATTGCTCTGGAACACATTCAAAATCAGCCATTTTGAATACATGTATATATAACATTTAAGAGATACAGCTATAGAAGCCTATTCATTAAAACAAAAAGGCCTCCAGACAGCCATTTTGAATCCGATCTGAAAAATATATGATGTGCATAAGGAACCTGTAATGTCTAATATATGTACCAAGTTTGAACGAAATCCATCCATAAATGCCAGAAATGCTTGATATTTGATGATTTTTTACCACAAAAATGGCCACCATTTGGCCATTTTGAATAAGATTGTCAAACCAATATATCTGTCTATCTATAACATGATGTATAATGAATATTTAAAACTTGAACATAATCATTGAAAGCAAGTCAGAGATATGGCACAGAACCACATTCATTAAAACAAAATGGCCGCTAGTCGGCCATTTTGAATCTTATCTGAAAAACAAAATTATTTGCATCAAAGTCTCAAAATAGCTAATGTACATACCAAGTTTGAAGAAAATCCATCTGTTAACAGCCGAGAAATGCTTGTATGATGTATGTGTGAAGTTTGATTGTGATTGGTCTAGGTTTTTTTTTTGGATACAGGTCCGGACGCACACGCACGCACGCACGCACACACGCACGCACGCACGCACGGACACACGGAGGTCAAAACATAAGTCCCCGTTTTCGAACTGCGTCCGAACAGGGACTAAAAACAGATTGATTGGTGGCAGTGACAAAAAGAGCATAGCTATTCGTCAGTCTCTTCACATAGTAACACAGATGGCTTCAAACGTCTCTCGTACAAGAATTTGTAAACCTGTCTCGATTCTTCTAAAGCATCCCGTCCTGCTTCTGGTATAGAGGACAATTCATGAGTATAATCATTCTCAGATAGCGGTTCAAAGCTGGTACTTTGAAGCGCTTTACCGAACCAAAGATTGGTGTCTAGGTAATCCGTTAGGTTCGGATGCCATCCATCAATAATTGCTGGTTTCCAGCTCAACATCTCTTCTCGAAAAGGTATATTGACCGATTGACAATAGGTTTTCAGCATGACCTCCGGGTGATGTGATAGCTCATGAGCATCGATGATAACTGCTGTTTGCTTCAGTTCTTGAGTCACATATTGGTACAAATCGAACACTGGTTTCAAACTAGCGAGTCCGAATCTAGGATCTGGTTTGCGTTCTGCAATTTTCCAATAACTGTGAATGCTTTGATTTGGATCTCGTATCAGGAACGTGTGTGTATACCCATCGGGTATTTTATCGTATCTTGCACTCACGTACTGTGCCATCTCTTTGAACATAACGATGTTATGTCCTGGATAATCTGATTCGAGCATAGTTTTAACATCCTGGTATTCAACATCATTAATAATTGGGTCATTGACGATTCCATTCGTCAATGGAACGAGAAACGGTTCTAAAAATGTTTTCGTGTCTCCTCTTCCAGCAAACCACTGTAATAGAGCTGTTGACATACTCCGTTGGTGTGTCCATACTGCAATGTGACGAACTGGGCTAGTTGACATCCTGGATACCTAGTGTACTTTTCGATTGAATTTACTCTGGCTCTCTGTTGTCAGAAAATGAAAAATTAAAGTCATAAAAATAATCTGAATTACGTTCGGGTAAGGTATAAAAAGACAAAAAAAAAAGGAATCGAAAATCATCAATAATTGTTTGGTCCCTTTCGAAATATATTGAAATTCACCAATGCTCAATCATTTACACAGTGACGTCTCATAACATTAAACTGTGTGTTTTATTTAGTAAGTTATTCGATTCATCGGCACATTCCCGTGTACCTAGACTGGCAAAGTTGGGACTTCTTTTTTGTTTTACAAAAAGAAATAATTAATTATTTTAAGTCATTTAGCGTGATAGCTAAAACAAACGTAGCCGCAAAAAAGGGAATTTCTTTTAATATGATTTCTTTTGTTATGGCACACAAACTCTGAACGTGACTAAAACTGTTGTGTTAATACAAAATGATGTGTTGATTACTTTTACACTAATTTGACGGCGCGGTAATTACACAAGCTGAACTAATGTTTTTCATCAGATTGTTCCCTTCAGGTATCTATCTTAAATTAATCTGATCGTATTAGCCGACCATCATATGATT